AGAACATCAGTACTCAACCTGTGGGTCGTGACCCCTTTGTGGGTCAAATGACCCTGAGGGTCGAATATCAGATATCTTGCACACCAGATATTTACAACTCATAACAGTGGCAAAATTAGTTATGAAGTAGCAATGAAAATAATTTTATGGTTGGAGGTCACCATCACATGAGGAGCTGCATTAAAGGGTCACAGCATTAGGAAGGTTGAGGACCACTGCTTAAGAGTATATGTGGTTGTTTTTGCTGAGACGGGCAGTTTCTGTGTAGCCCTGGCTGTCCTGGAACTCGCTGAGTAAACCAGGCTGGCCTCTGCTTTCCAAGTGCTTGGGATTAAAGGTGTGCGCCTCTAACACCCAGCTAGGGTACTGAAAGCTCAGAATGGTGGGCAGCAGAAACCAGGAGAAACAAAGTCCTGCCTGACAGGATGGTCAGCAGGGTGGGACAGATCTCTGCACCACAGCAGCACCCCGCCAGGCCCGCAACCTTTAAGCCACTGCACTGGAGTGAGAGGTAGAAGGCTTGCTGGGAACCACAGTTGTGGAACACTAGGGCTCAAAGGCACAGGCGGGAAACTAAGGACAGCTTAGCCCTTTAGCGGCCACTAGATCAATACAGCATCAGCACACGGCACCCTCCCACCCCTCTTCTCAAAGCAATGCCACAGAAAATCTCTTAGCGGGAGGAGAGGCCAAATGCCACCACAGCCAGCCTGAGGAACCCCACAAGGAACAAAACCTGCCTCCAGAGTTCCCAGCCTTATTTAGAAGGCAAGTAAGCTCAGGACCCTTCGCACAGAAGGTGGCCCAGACTGAGATAGAGATCGCTGGTTCAGAGTGCCCTGACCTAAGGCTGGTCCACTGCCACACCCAGAATGGTTTCCTCATCAAGACCAGACAGTCTGCAGTCCTAGAACACCTGTCTCCAGAAAACAATCAGACCCACAGATCCGACCAAACAGTAACAAGTAGGTTGGGTGGTGAGCAAAATATTGCTTCCTTCCACCTGCCCGGACACCCACCCAACAGCCTCCCACAAAGCCCTTCCGATAAGGATCAAGTCTCGGAATGAAGTCACAAGTTTCCAAACGCCCTACCGCTCAGTTGAGGGCTGGCGGGCAGACAGCAAGGCAAGGCATCCTCACAAAAGCTTTGTGAAACTGGACTTGGTGGCAGGGGCCTATAGATCTTGACTGCTTGGGAGGTTAAGGCATACGGACTCACTGATCCAGTGGAAGCCAGTGTATTTTTATGCTGGGCCTGCCAACATTAAGAAACAACACTGCGAGCAATTCCTCATGTCAACTCAAAACACCCCAGCATGGGGACCACAACACCCTCTAAGAGAAAGGCTGTAGGAACCTCGGCACACTCCCCGGAGGTCTCCCCTCCCACAGACCAAAGTCTGTGTTACTTCCTATGGACACGTTAGGCTCCCAACTGTCCCCCCTGTACATACAATGCCCAGACAAGTCTTAATGGAAAACACGTGACTATTACCCAGAATACCCCCCTCCAATTTACTCCCCCTACTCTACATTTGCATGGGAAGACCAAGAGAAGAAATGGAACCATTTCATACTGCATTCATATTTACAAACCACCTATGTACCCCTGACCTCACCTGAGCTGTGTGGCAACCCCATGAGGTAAGCCTTGCTATGGAGGCACACACAAAGTGTGGTTACCTGCCCCCTGCTATGGGTCTGAATGGCGCCTCCCCACCATCATGTTGAAATACATGTATTGGGACATGTGGCCTTTAGGAAGTTATTAGGCCACGAGGGCAGAGCCCTCATAAGTAAGATGATTGTCAGGATAAAGAGGCCAGAAGAAGCCAAGCTCAGTAGCACATGCCCTGATACCTGGGAGGTCAAAGCAGCAAGACCACTTTGGCCCAGCAATTCAAAGACCATACCAGGCAACTCAGCAAGACTTTTTCAAAACACATACAGAAAATACAAGAATACATAAATAAGCCAGAGAAAGATCCTTTGCCCTGCCCACTATGGAAGGCCACACAGTAACAAGAAGCCTTCTGTGAACTGAAAAGTGAACCTTGAGACAACCTTGAGTTTGCCAAATTTCCAAATCCGGGGTTTCCCCGCCTCCAGAAGTGTGAGAAGTCAATGTGTCTGTTGATGGTCCATTGTTACACTAGCCTTCACAGATGTCAGACTCCATTAACAGCCAATAGCATTTTGCCCATTTTATGAGCAAGAAAGGAAAGACTCAGAGGTTGGGCAGCTGGCTGCTGGCAGCTTACCTCCTGGGTCTGTAAAGAGGGCTGGGAAGGAAGCAACCCCAGCACAGCTTTCCAGCACCAGAATCAACATACTCTGGCTGTTTAAACTTTACCATGTTGTACTTCCCTGATGGCTTAGCAATGCTGATAGGAAGGGAGCCTGAAATCCCTGCTCCTAGGCTCACTCTGTGCTCTAGACCTTTGCATCTCGTGCGCTATAATAAAGCAGCCCCCCAAACAAAGGTCCAGCTCTCTGACTCAGGACCCCATTTCACGTACAAAGCCCCATTTAGCTGCTCCACTGCACCCACCCCCGCTATCTGCTGCCCAGCTCTCAACTCCTACTGGGCAGACTCTGAAACCATACAGGAGATTAAGTCAAGAGGGAGAACAGGAGGGACATTCTCTCCTTGAACTTTCTTAAATGGAGGAGGGGGCACGAGAAAAGAAAAGGCCCATTTTTCCAAGGAGGGGGCCGAGGCAATGATCTTTCCATTAAGCAGACGTGCATAAGAATGTATAGATTATTTAATGCTGGGGGTGGCAGAGCGGAATAAAGGAAGCTTTGTACCTTCCCCAGCACCCTTCCCTCACTCTTTCCCCAGCCAGGCATTCCACCCAACTCTTTAAATCTTCCAGCCCTGATGTACCCCATCTGTGCACTGGCCGCAGCCAATGAAATCAAGGCCTGTGCTGACTTTGGCCTGGACTTGTGAGCCTTCCTGTCCCGGGAGTGGGTAGGAAGGAGGACACAAGGCCAACCAAGCTTTTCTCTTTCTGCCTCATCTCACAAGTCTTCATCTGTCCGTTTATTTGATCACTTACTGAGTTTTTGCCATGGGTCAAATTCTGATCTGGGGACTAAGTCAGACAGAACACAACAGAAGGATGTGGAAGGGTACATGAGAAAGGGGGGCTGCTCTCGGCAGAGGCTTGAGACCCCCACCTTCATATCCACAGAAGGCCGCTTGTGTCTCGTGGCTAACTGAAACAAAGCAAGGACGTGGCAGACCACCAACGGCCCTGTCCACCTGACCAAATGCAGTAGAGATAACCTCGAAGGTCATTGCCATCTCTACAGAATATCTGACTTCCATCCATCTTTTCATCTTTTCCCTGCTGGTATGGCTTGGCCTTCCACTCACCTTAAGGAGTCACAAGGGTTAGTGGAATAGCATTTTTTAGTCAGTACACAGATGCTAAAATGCACTGGAGCCTTGACTTCTTACACCACAGACACTTCTTCCTTATGTTAAAATGGTGCCATAGATGTCTCCCTAGATAGAAACACTTATTTTGGAAATGTCTCCAGGAAAAGGTTGTGGAAGGGATACGGCGCCAACTCAAATACGAGTTTTTGGCTCACATTCCATGCCAGGAGACTGGCTAGCTCTTCCATAGACATGGCCTCCCACATCCAAATTTCCAGTCAAGGGTTTACCCCAAAACTCCAAAGAACCCTGCACCAAGATGATACAGTAGATAGCTAAAGGCTCTCTTAAGTGTAAATAACAAAGTTTGGGGATGAAGAAGAGTGGAACAGGTAGACATTCTGCCAGGGCCCTGGGGCATCGAGGTTGAGCTTGTGTGTTACTGGGCAGCTTGGAACAGACCCACAACAGCAGACTCTGTTCTGGGCCCTCATTTCAGAATCTGTGACTGCAGCCTCGATTATCTGGCCAGCCTTCATGCGCCAGTCAAGGCAGCCAGCTGCAAGAGGAATGTTCTGAACTGCGGGCTGGAGCTGTCACCCATCTTGGGCCGAGACTACCAAACCCAAGGAGAAGAAAGCAAGAGTCTTTGCCTAAGTATCTGTCTGTCCCTTAATTGTGTGGAGGCTAGCTTCTCAGGAAAGATGCTATTAAAGGAGGAATTCTCCCACGATCTTTTTCTCTTTGTCATCGAGCCTAGTAAAACCTGTTTCTCCTCCCCTGGGAACCCAGGGCCGGGAGGGAGATAGCTCCCCTGAGAATACCGCCCGAAGTATTCAGTTCCTGTATTACACAACTGAGAACCCGAGTTTATTCATTAGTAACCCCCAGCCCCAACTTCAGAAGCAGCTGTCGAGGCACCTCTGGGAAAACAGGGACTTGTTCTTTAGCTATGATCAAATGTCACTCTGTATCACTTTATATAGAGGTTCCTTCAGGCCCGGGGCTCAGCCTTTCAGCAGGCCACTTTTGTTCCTCCCCAAAGGACAAGTTTTCACAATGCCTCAGCCTCGCCACTTTCCTTGGGGCTTGCCAGGGGCTCTCCCGTTTGAGCTAACAGTGGGGATGGAGCGTGGCTCTGTGGTAGAGTTCTTGCCTAACATACAGAGGCCCCGATGAACCACAAAACTGTGAGCTGCCAGGCCCCAAAGCCTCTAACAGGGTTGACATCTAACTTCTAACATAAGCTGCTCCGAGCTGGGCGGTGGTGGCGCATGCCTCCTTTAATCCCAGTACTCAGGAGGCAGAAGCAGACGGATCTATGTGAGTTCGAGGCCAGTGTGGTCTACAGAGGGAGTTCCAGGACTGGTTCCTAAGCAACACAGAGAAACTCTGTCTCAAAAAATCAAAACAAATACAAACTGATCCACTACTCTGTCCCTGCAATTCAGAGTTGATTCTCAGTGGACAGTCTGCAGGTTGGCCCTCTCCTTCTAGAGACAGTGTGCAAACATCCTAGACTGTAGGAGAGCTTGTAAGTCTGTGACTGCAGGAACAGGAAATGCACCTTTACTGGGAGGCGAGAAAGGCCTTCGAGACACCAGTACCTTGGAAATGAGTTCGTCATGATTGGCCAGGTGAGCTCTGCAGTGGATGCAGCTGTAGGTGCGGTGGCAGGAGGGCAGGTATGCCTGAAACGTCTTGGATCTTGTCATCTTCACCATCGGTGCAGCTGAGCGCGGGGCGAACTCTGGGGCAGCCCACGAGGCACTCCCACAGGACGGGTCGCACGGGAAACACCGGAAGACACAGGTAAAGGCCGTGGTTTGGCAGGGGGTGGGTGTGCGGCAGGCTCCACACACTGGTGACGTCTTCAGAGGAAGGACTCTCTAGCAGAGGCCCACAGCTGGTTCTCGGCAGCCTGCGGCAAAGGAAAACACTGTCATCAAATGGAGCAAAGCTTCGGACAAGATGACCGCAAACACCTGAGAGGGATCAGCAGACGCTGGCCACAGAAGACCCGTCCTTGTCTCTGACCCTTCACACTGCACCACTCCAGCCTGCTGGCTTTGTCAGGTAACTGGAGATTCAGTAGTTCCAAGAATGACACAGGTGCCTAGCAAACTGGCATCATCAGCATCCCTGAGCACAGAACTGAAGACGGGCTATTGGCAGCCCCCAGGGAAGACCACTTAGGAACCCACACCCCCAGACTCGGAAGCGATTCAGCTACCCACCACATCCAACAGTCCAGAAATCTCATCTATTTTCAGACTCCAGGAGCACGCCAACACTTGAAGCCACCACCTGCAGGGAAGCAAACCGCACAACAGCCTCAGCTGGAATAAAGTGTGAGATTTCCCACTTAGCAATGCCCCGAAGGGTGGTAGCCAGCTTGTCTGAGAGAAGTGATTCTCTCTGCAACACCTTGCTCCGACAAGAAGCCCAGTGTATGTGTTTATTTGTGTATTTTAAAAGGCAAAGAAAGCCGGGCGGTGGTGGTGCACACCTTTAATCCCAGCACTCGGGAGGCAGAGGCAGGCGGATCTCTTTGAGTTCGAGACCAGCCTGGTCTACAAGAGCTAGTTCCAGGACAGGCTCCAAAACCAGAGAAACCCTGTCTCGAAAAACCAAAAAAAAAAAAAAAAAGGCCTAAATTAGCAAGCATAACATTTGAAAAATCACAATGACCATGGAACTCACAATTCCTTTCCAATTCTCAAATCTCCCATTGCTACCTGGTCTCAGCCTTCTCACTGGCCTGCTAAGAATGGGGGAGAGGGATGGGGCTCCCAGTGGAGCCACTTGGAAGAATGCCTCTGAAGTTTTGCTTACCTGAGGCTCTGGCACCTGTCTATTCCCTGGACTTCACTAATGGGGGAGGCAGGCGTTCCCACTTGCCTGTCTTCCCAGGAGAGCCGTGAGTGTTAATTAACATGTGCATCATGCTTTGCAGATTCAATGATTTAGAGAAATGGGGGAGGAAGACAAATAAAACAAGCTCTCCCGTACTGGACTATCTGGGATCCACCTATACTTAACAGAAAACCTGTATATCATACTGTGCTTTTTCCCATGGGAGGCTGCTCCCACCCCAAGCCTTTCGTTCTCCCCACCACAGCCATCACATTTGCGCGCTACCCTTTTCTGATACCACTGCCCAGCACAACCATGAAGGTAAAAGTGGTCCCTAGCCCTTAACAGTGTCAGCAACTCTTCCCAGCATCCTTGAGCCACGTGGGCTCCATGCCCAACACACATCTCCTGTGTGACCTGTCTGATTTCTGAAGGGATTCAGACTTGGGCCCACAGGGGCCAGGGCAAGATGTCTTCTCTGCTCAGTTTCTTCCATGTTCAAGATGAAGAACTGGGTTGCTTTCCTGAAATAGCCTCAATATTTCCAATATTCCTGTTCAGTTGTTAGCAAGGACAAAAATCCCAGAAGAAGAGGGAAGTGGAGGCAGCACCCAGTCCACATCATCTTTCTTATTAGCAGAGTGGGAGCAGGAGGGTTCTTTTTGTTTAGTCTGGGTTGTTTCCTTTTGTTTTGTCTTGTTTTCCCATAGCCCAGGCAGGCCTGGAGCTTCTTGCCTCTGTTCTGTAGAGTTGAGAGCACAAGTCTGCACCACCATGCCCAGCTGTCTAAGCCAAATGGTTCAAGTCCACAGCCTTGGCTGCCCAGGGGCCAGGATGAGTAACATTAACCCCTGGGGCTTACACAAACACCAAGGAAAGAAGGGAAAACAATGGCCCTGGCAGCCTCTCTGCTTTACAGAGGCCATAGCGTGTTTTCTTATGCACGCAGACAGCTTCTCAATTATGTATTTCCCTGGAGTAGAATTATTTCTTTTCTCACTTCTCCTCTGTAGGAAGCCTAAAAAAAGTACACAGGCAGAGGTTCCTGGCTATGCCCTAAATCCAAAAGCGTTCACAGCTCCTTCTACAGAAGCAGCACTTGCAGCATGCATTAAATGCTGAGTAGGTCACAAACATGGACCCATGCAATCTACCTCACATGACTCTGAACTGAAAAAGGAGAGAAAATGCTATGGTGTAGGTATTGGCTCAGGCTGCACGGTGCTGGAAAACCCTGGAAAGACCTGGCCGTGGACATTTGCATTGTCTTCGGCAGACTCACTGTCCTCTTAGTGGGAGGAGTATTTTGGGACAGGGTCTCACTAAGTAACCTAGGCTGTCCTGAGGCTAGTAAACCAGGCTGGCCTTGAACTCAGAGATCCAAAGTGCTCTGCCTCCAGAGCACTGGGATTAAAGATGTGCACTATAATGTGTCTTACATTATTGTTCTTTAGTAATTTCACAAGCATCCTATAGAAGGGACTTCTCTCTGGGAGTTGGGGGCGGGGGAGTGCGCAAGACATACAGAAAGTATTAGAAATGTAACCATGTTCATTCAACTGTCAGGACAGCTAGAAAGACCTAGAGCAGGGGAGCGAGAGAGAACACTAGTGAAACGAGAGGGCTGGAGAGGGCGGTTAAGAACACACACTGCACTGGCAGAGTTGGTTTCCAGAACCCACATCAAATGGCTCACAGCAGCCTGTAACTCCAGCCTAGGAGGATCCAATGCCTCTGACCTCAGTGCTGCGCGCATGCGTGCACACACACACACACACACTCACACACACTCACACACACACACTCACACCCCCCCCACACACACACACACATGGAACTTATTACGCTGATCCAGGTAGTGAGCAGTACAGGCAGTCAGCAGTCCAGCTAGTCTAATGGTTGTCTATCAACAGAAAGTCTGAGAACCCAGTAGTTGATCAGAGGCTGGAAGTCTCCGCTGGTCTCCAGCATCAGCAGACTTGCTGTAAGAACAGCAGCTGAAGAGCAAAAGCTTCCTTCTTCCACGTCCTTATACAGGCTTCCAGCATTAGATGGGGCCCAGGTTAAAGGTAAATCTCCCTACCTGAAAGATCCCGATTACAGTGGGTCTTCTATTTCAAATGAATTAAGAATAATCCCTGTCTGGTATGGTGCATGCCTTTGATCCCAGCTCTGTGTGTGTATGAGCACATGTGTATGTATGTGTGGTGTGTGTATATGCATACACCTGTGGATATATAATTGAGTACAAGGCCAGAGGAGTTCCAGAACACCCGAGGCTACAGAGAAATCCTGTCTGGAAAAAAGTAAAATAAAATAAATTTAAAAATTGCTTGACTTAATTCTCAATAAAGAAAATGCATTGAAGTTCCTGAAGAGAAATGAATTACATATACGGGCACAGCACTTGGCACATTTTAATTTCTGAACTTTGGTCCCTGCTAATGGTGCCACCGTGTGCATAGATTACAAGAGTCCAACTTGTTGAGCATTTTTTGCAAAGTCCAATTGATTTCCAACAATAATCAAAAGCCTTAGGGTGTGTGTACAATTTAAATAGCATTTTAAGTGAAGTAACAGTGGAAATTAAAGAAAGCCTTTCTACCACCCCTAGCTGGCTCATGATGCTCACCATGGAAAGAAAAATGTGAAATATTATGATTAAAAACAAAGACCCCAGCTATACCATTTTGAGAGCCAAAGGCACGGGGAACCCTCCTGACTGACAGACTATTCCCCACGGAGAGTCACAGTAGCCACTGAAATTCAAAACTGTACCTCCCAGGTGTGAAGGGGAGGAAGAGTGACATGTACTCTGACTTTAGCTAAGCAATGAGGAACCTGAGAAGCCGGGCAGCATCCCACAACAGCCTCGGAAGCTGGACCTAACATGTGCCTGTGCTGTTTAGGTAGAGCAGGCAGAAGGTGACTAGAAGTGGGCTCTAGAATGTCACAGATGAGTTCTAGTCCTTCCTAGCAGGGTGACATCTGGCAAGTTCCTCAACTTGCTGACCCTCACACTTCCCCACTCCAAATAACAGGAGACGCCTGAGAATGAAATGAGACGGCCCAGGGCTCCCCATTCTTAGGGGCCAGCGAAACGGAGAAGGTGCCGCGTGGGACAAACACCCTGAACATGTGTGTGGGTCCAGCCCCCCATCCTCACACCCTCATCCACACTTCCACACTCCCGCTGCACTCTGCTACAGCCTTACGCTAGCCCGTGACCAAGCCCTCACTCGTCCGTTCTGACTTAAGCCAACAAAGGTCCCTGTGGCCGTACTGGAAAACTGGCTTTTGGCAAGCAAGGCGGGAAGATGCCATGAGTTTGAGGACAGTCTGGGCTACATAGCAAAAAACATAGCACCTGGAGGCAGGTAAACTTGGATTCGGTCTGGATTCTTCTCACACTGGGCAAAATGCCTGAAAGGAAGTAACAGCGCCTTCATCCCGAAGGAGACGAATCCCACGATAGAGTGAGAGACGTATTCTAAAGCAATACCAGGCAAATGGTTCTCAACTGCCCTGATTAGCTACAATCACTCTCGCCAACTAGGGGCACAGGAATTATTGTTCCCACTCCCAGGACCAAAGGCACCAATGCTCCTGTGCCCCTGGCTGACTCACGGTGTTGGGAGAATTCCAGGGCAGCCATGAGACGAGTGTGAAGGCACAACAGGCCTACAATTCTGACATTGCAGGAAGACCACTCCAAGTTTGAGTCAGGCTGGTCTATACTGCAAGTTCCAGGCCAGTCAGGGCTACACAATGAGACCTTGCCTCAAATTTAAACCCCCCCCACAAAAAAAAATAGAAAAACACCAAACAAAAATTTCTCAACAGAAAAAATAAGTCTGTCATATTTTATTGATACCTCTTATATAGATATCCATAGGCAGCAAGAAGTCCTGCCCCTTCTGAAATAAAGCCAGCATCCATCACAACCTGGACTGGACATAGAGTTGAGTCTTGACTTGAGCAGGCATACATCTGTTTGATGCGGGGTTTCTCTGTACAGCTCTGGCAGTCCTGAAACTACTGCAGACCAGGCTGGCCTTGAACTCAGAGCTCCACCTGCCTCCGCCTCTGGGAATAAAGGCCACTTAAAGGACCACTCCTCCTTCTCTCTTTAAAATCGTGACTCAATAGTTTCTTGTTGCTGTTGGGCTTGGATTAAAGGTCTGCATGGCCAGCCCAAGTCTGATTTAGTGGTTTCTATATCTAAAAAAAAAAAATGTTTGAAGGCAGTGGAGCATTTAATCCCAGCACCTGGGAGGCAGAGGCAGGAGGATGTCTGTGAGTTCGAGGCCAGACTGGTTTACACAGCTAGTATCAGGACAGCTGAGGCTACACAGAGAAACCTTGTCTTGAAAAAAAATTAAAACAAAACAAAAAATGTTATGCATATAAGTATTTTATCTGCATGTGTGTACGATGCCCTCAGAGGTCAG